AAAACAATATTAGAGAAGAAATATATACCATTAAAAAATAAGAGAATTAAATCAACATCTTAACCTTACAACTTAAAGAACCAAAAAACAAAAATATAAACCCAAAGCTTCAAAGCTTATAGAAGGAAATAAGAGATTAAAGATAAATGAAATACAGAATGGGAAAACAATAGGAAAAAATCAATGAAACTAAACATTGGTTTTTTTGAAAAGATCAACAAAATTGAAAAACTTTTAGCTAGATGGATTTAAAAAAAAAGAAAGACTCAAATTCTATAAATCAGAAATAAAATTGGGGGGGGGGCGACTGGGTGGCTCAGTTGGTTAAGCATCCAACTTTGGCTCAGGTCATGATCTCATCGTTCATGAGTTTGAGTCTCATGTCAGGCTTTGTGCTAACAGCTCAGAGCCTGGAGCCTGCTTCAGATTCTGTGACACCTCTCTCTCTGCCCCACCCCCGCTCATGCTGTGTCTCTGTCTCTCAAAAAAATAAATAAACATTAAAAAAAATTTTAAATAAAAAAAAATGAAATTGGGGACATTACTACTAATTCTTCAGAAATAAAAAGAAGAGTACTATGAAAATCATAAGCAAACAAGTTGGATAACCTAGATAACACAAAAGCTACTAGGACTAAATCATGAAGAAACAGAGTATCTGAATAGCTTTATAATTACCAAGGAGATTTTATCAGTATTCAAAAATCAACTGGCAAATAAAAGCTCTAGACCTGATGACTTTATGGGTGAATTCCACCAAACATTTATATAACTAATACCAATTCTAAAACTTTTCCCCAAAAATTGAAGAGTGCGGAACTCTTCTCGACTCACTTTATGAATCCAGCATTATTGTGATCCCAAAGTCAGACAAAGACACTATGATTGCAGAATAATAATCTTTATGAGGGGGTGCCTGGGTGGCTCAGTTGGTTAAGCATCCGACTTTGGCTCAGGTCATGATCTCATAGTTCAGGCTGTGAGTTTGAGCCTCATGTCAGGCTCTCTGTTGTTGCTTTGGATCTTTGTTCCACTCTCTGCCCCTCCCCCACTCTCTCTCTCAAAAATAAATATTACAAAAAAGTAATCCTTATGAACACTGATGTCAAAATCCTCAACAAAATACTAGTAGACCAAATTCAGCAACATATTAAAAGGATTATACACAATGACAAAGTGGACTTTATTCCTGGAACACAAGAATGATTCAACACACAAAAATTAACCAGTGTAATGTACCTTATTAACAGAATGAGGAAAACTACATAATTACCTTAACTGATGAAGAAAAAGCATTTGACAAAATTAAATACCCTGTAATGAAAAAAATACTCAACTAGCTAGGGATAGAAAAAACTACCTCAACATAGTAAAGGCCATATAGGAAAACCCTACAGCAAACATCATACTCAGTGGTAAAAGACTAGAAGGTTTTCCTCTAAGATCAGGAACAAGACAAGGCTGTCTGCTTTCACCATTTCTACTTGACAGCATCTGGATGCTCAAGTCAAAGCAATTAAGCAAGAGAAAGAAATAAAGAGCATCCAAACTGGAAAAGAAGTAAAACTATCTCTGTTCACTGATGACACATTCTTTTATATGAAAAATTCTAGGAGCGCCTGGGTGGCTAAGTTAACTAAGCAACCGCCTCTTGATTTCAGCTCAGGACATAACCTTGCAGTTGTGGGGTTGAGCCCCATGGCAGGCTCCACACTGAGTGTGAGGCCTGCTTGGGATTCTCTCTCTTCCTCTCTCTCTGTCCCTCCCCTGTTCATGCATGTGATCTTTCTCTCCGTCTCACAATAAGTAAAAATTAGCTTTAAAAAACCCCACAACTCTAAAGAAGCAAAGTAGCAGGACACAGACTCAACACAGAAAAGTCCATTGCATTTCTTGAAAAATAATTTTAATGTTTTGAAACTGACGCAGGGCTCAAACCCATGAACCGTGAGATCATGACCTGAGCCAAAGTTGGATGCTCAACCAACTGAGCCACCCAGGCGCCCCAAGTCCATTGCATTTCTATACATAAACAATGAACAATCTAGAAAGAAAATTACAAAAACAATTCCATTTATAATCACATCAAAATGAATAAAATACCTGGGAATTAACTAAGGAGACTAATGACTTCTACATTGAAAAGTACAAATCATTGCTAAAAGAAGACATAAATTGTAACATACCTCATGTTCATGGATTAGAAGATTTAATATTAAGATATTCATACTACCAGCGTGATATATAAATTTAGTACAATCTCTATAAAAATCTCAATGACAATTTTTTTTTTAATGTTTTATTTATTTCTAGGAGAGAGAGAGAGAGACAGCGTGAGCAGGGGAGGGTCAGAGAGAGAGGGAGTCACAGACTGAAACAGGCTCCAGGCTCTGAGCTGGCAGTCAGCACAGAGCCCGACGCAGGGCTCGAACCCACGAACCGCGAGATCATGACCTAAGCGAAAGTCGGACGCTTAACCGACTAAGCCACCCAGGCACCCCTCAATGACAATTTTTGCACAAATAGAAAAACTCATCCTAAAATCCATATGGAATCTCAAGGGACTCTGAACAGCCAAAACAATCTTGAAAAATAACAAAACTGGAGGACTCACACTTGCTGATTTCAAAACTTACTACAAAGCTATGATAATTAAAATAGTGTAGTGTGGTGCTGGTATAAAGACAGACACATAGACCAATATAAATGAATAGACAGTCCAGAAACAAACCCTCACCATACACAGTCACATCACTTTTGACAGTGGTATTCAATGAGGAAAGGGCAATCTTTGCAACAAATGGTCCTGGGGAAAGTGGCTATCCACATTCAAAAGAATGAAGCTGGACTCCTACCTAACACCATATACAAAAATGAACTCAAAATGGATCTATTTACAAGTAGTCAAATTCATAGAGACTGAAAGTAAAATGGTGGTTGCCATCTTACTGGTGGTTCCTACCTAACACCATATACAAAAATTAACTCAAAATGGATCAATTTACAAGTAATCAAATTCATAGAGATTGAAAGTAAAATGGTGGTTGCCATTTTATCTGGTGGTTCCAGAGGCTGGAAACGGAGAACACAATGATTACTTTAATGGGCCCAGAATTTCAGTTTTGGTTTTGTTTTTTTTTTTTTCTTTTTTTTACAAATAGTTTATTGTCAAATTAGTTTCCACATAACACTCAGTGCTCATCCCCACGAGTGCCCTCCTCCATGCCCATCCTCCTCTCCCCCTACATCCATCAGTCCTCAGTTTTTGTCAGCATTCAAGAGTCTCTCATGGTTTGCCTCTCTCCCTTTCCCCCACCATTTCCCCCCTTGTTCTCCCTCTTGTTCCTCCATCAAGTTCCTCCTAATCCTCCTATACGTGCAAACATATGGTATTTGTCCTTCTCTGCCTGACTTATTTTGCTCAGCATAACACCCTCAAGGTCCATCCATGTTGCTACACATGGCCAGATTTGTTTCTCATTGCCATGTAAATTCCATGGTATAGATAAACCACATCTTCTTGATCCATTCGTCTGTTGATGGACACTTAGGCTCTTTCCATGTTTTAGCTATTGTTGAGAGTGCTGCTATGAACACTGGGGTACATGTGCTCCTATGCACCAGGATTTCAGTTTTATTAAGATGCAATGTCCTGGAGATGGATGGTGTTGATGGTTGTACATTATGATGTATGTAATAATGCTCAACCGTGTACTTAAAAATGGTGAATTTTACGGTAAATGTTATGTTATATATACTTTACCAGATTAAAGACCTTTTTTAAAAGAAAAAGTGGGGATGGGCAATTTAGTTTAATAGCTTGGATTAACCAAATGCATATATTACCTATTTAAAAAGTTTTTAAAATTTCTGAAACCTTAATTTTCATATTCTCAATGTTGATGCTTTTCACTTAAAAAGCAGAAAACAAATGTCAGTACTGTGGACAGCACTGTTAAGTGTTTGGTGTCAGGAACTTCTTGCAGGCCTTGGGTAGAACTGATCTAACAGCAGCCTTGGTTAATCTAAAGGGCAGCTAAAAATAGCCTCTTAAATTTCTAGGCACATAGGCCTCTTCACAGATATAAGGCAGCTATGGCACAAAACTGTGGGGTTGTCTAACTTTCCAGACTAACGAATATTCTGTCAAATTTTTTAAATTTAAATTTTAACTAGAATTCCAAGAGTTACATTCACAGGTTTTCCCTATCCTGTGCTCCATACTGCATCCTTTTGGAATAGGGGTATCTGCAGGTTATTATCTCCCTCGGAATATGGAGTAAGTGGGAAAAACAGTAACAGCAGCAATTTAAAAACCACAGGAAGCTTTAGCAAGCTCAGAGTTCCTATCTATGTCAAACACTGCCTGAAAGCTAGGAAAAGAGCTGATTTTCGGGGCCAATAGAAAAAGGTGCAATTTTTAGGAAAATAGGAAAGAGAATGCAAGAATCAAATTGGATCTTGTGGCTGGTAGTTTGCTTGAGCATAAGGGAGGAGGAACATGCTGGATATTGAAAACTTACACCTTTTCTCCAGCAAATACTTTGATTTTGCAACACAGATTTATAAGAACTAGGAGGCTCTTCCTCCTTTATCTGTCCTGCTCCATACCCAATTCTTTTTTTTTCTTAATTTTTAATTTTATTTTAGAGAGAGAGAACAAGCAGGGGGGAGAAAGACAGGTGGGGAGAGAGAGAGAGAGAGGGAGAAAGAGAGTCTCAAGCAGGCTCTGTGCAAGGCACGGAGCCCAACACAGGGCTTGATCCCGTGGCCCTGGAATCCATGACCTGAGATGAAATCAAGAGTTGGATGTTCAATTGACTGAGCCACCCAGGCACACCCTCCCCCCCATTCTTTTACTTATCATATAGGTTTTGACTTCACAAGGCTACACCTTGGCAGGAATTCAGAGGAAGAAACAGTATTCAACAGGCATCAACAGTTTCACCCCGTGTTAATTTATCTCCACGCTTTGATGGAAAAAAAACCCTAATACTTACTGATACTCGGCCACGCAGTCCAGCAGACCTACATACTTTAAGGTCTCATGTTGAACAGCACTTTCAAGAGCTCGTACTCCACTGACATCTTTCAGAATATGCTGGACACTTTCGATATATCCAGATTCGAGGTTCTCATCTCTCTCTTTCAATTCCCCTTGGGGTGAAAGTATGCTTTCCAAGGCTTTATGGAACCGTTTCCCTTGTAAAAATATGTCTGAAAAGAAAATGAGGGGAAAAAGAAAAACAAACAAGAACAAAGCTAGTACTAAAAAACAAATACCTTAAAACCTCTGAATAGTAAAATTAGAAATTACATTTAAATTAGAAGTTACCTTTAAAGTGACGACCTCTAAAATACACATTTCAGCCTCTTGTGAAACCTAAGAATGCACTCTGAAAACCAAAGGGACTAAAATAGGTTGAACAATAAAATTAATTAAAATAAAGAATTTCTAGGAGTAGGCCAAAGCTATAATTGAAGATCTGGGGGCAACAGGATCACATCTAGTTTAGGGGACTGTGAATTTAAGTATCCATTTTAGTAACTTAACTGGTTGTGATAAATAATTATTAGAAACTTAAGGAACTTTGGGGCACCTAGGTGGTTCAGTCAGTTAAGCGTCCGACTTGGGCTCAGGTCATGACCTTGTGGTCCATGGGTTCGAGCCCTGCATCGGACTCTGTGCTGACAGCTCAGAGCCTGGAGCCTGTTGCAGATTCTGTGTCTCCCTCTCTCTCTGCCCTTCCCCAGCTCATGCTCTGTCTCTCTCTGTCTCAAAAATAAACGTTAAAAAAAAAAAAAAGAAATTTAAGGAACTTTGTTTCTGTTCACAATTCTTTTTACAACCAACACTTAATAAACACAGGTGGGGGAATCCTCTTACTAACAAGCTTAATGAATGGCAAGGTATGAAAATCAAGGCATATACAAATTAAAAACAACAAATTGGATGTTTTGGGACTTAGGGATGAGGAGAAGAAATATGTAACACTCTTCTGCATTTTTTTTGGGCTAGAAGAGCCTAAGACAGTTGCTCTGTCCTGAATTTTTTTCCTCATATGCTTAAAAACATTTGACATACAGTTGACATGTTATATCCATTTCAGATACACAACATAATGATTTGATATCTGCATATCCTCATACAGTTTTAAGAAAAAAAAACCCAAACATATTTAATAAATCCAAGAAGTTCTACATATTATTCACTTGGCCCTTGATAAGGGGAGGAGACAAAGAAGAGGCACTGTGCTAAGCAGTGGCCTTGGAGTTTTCAAAATATTATTTAACTTTCAAACACAACAATCCAGCAAGATAAGAATCATTACTCCCAGTTAATGAATGAAGCCTACACAATGCTGTTAATCTGCCCCAAAGCAAAAAGGTAGACTAGCAGCTTGGCACCAGAGTCCATGATCAATTCTAGTCTATGATACAGCACAGTGAGGAATGCAAAATCAGGGACCATCATTTAGATATACACAGAAACAGAGTAGGAAATATACATGCATGGAGATGCCCATAGAAAATGAGGAAAACAATCTTATCCATAAGGTAATATCAACACCATATTATGTTTGTCAAGTATTGTTTTACCAGGATTTTGAAAGGTCAGTTTTACCACTAGCAAAAAAAATGGAATTGTTTCTGGGGAATTACTTGGAGAGTTAAATGAAATTCAGCTGAGGAACTGAGTTATTACACTCCAAATTTACTTGGCTCAATTGGACTTATTAGCATATAAAAGGCCTACAAGAAATTTAAGACAGATGGAATTAAAACCTAGGTAAAAGTACAGTATTCATCTATAGATTAGCTTAATGAAGAACACAAACATGTTAAAAACAAGAAGAAAAAAATCCCACATCATCAATTGCCAAGCAAATAAACTCATTCTCCATTGTGGACTTAACCCCTGGCTGGGCTCTTCACATCGAAGAGGCAACAAACACGGGAAGCTAGATTACAGGATCCCTTAGATTGTTAGACTCAGAAATTAGTCAGAGAAGAAATATATAATTTCACTCATACACAGAACTTAAGAAACAAAACAGATGAACGTAGGGGAAAGGAAAGAAAAATAAAAGAGCAAGACAATCCATAAGAGACTTTTAAAAAAATATTTTGAGAGAGAGACAGAGAGAGACAGAGAGAAGGAGCAGGGCAGGGGCTGAGAGAATCCCAAGCAGGTTTTGCACCAGCAGCTCAGAGCCCAACTTGGGGCTCAATCTCACCAACTATGAGATCATGACTTGAGCTGAAATCAGGAGTTGGATACTTAACTGAGCCACTCAGGTGCCTTGAGACTCTTAAATACAGAGATCAAACTGAGGGTTGCTGAAGAGGTTTTGGGAGAGGGGATGGGCTAAATGAGTGATGGGCATTAAGGAGGGTACTTATTGAGATGTGCACTGGGTGTTTTACCTAAACGATGAATCACTAAATTCTACTCCTGAAATCATTATTATACTCTTGATATTAACTAACTTGGATTTACATAAAATTAAGAAATTTTTAAAAAGAAAAAAGATTGTAAGGCTCAGAACATTAAATATGATTGAATTTGTAAAAAAAAAAATAAATAAAAAATAAAACAAACAAACAAAAAAAAACAAAAAAAAATAAATATGATTGAATTTGTAAAAGTAAATTTTAAAAGGCACACATTTATTGCAGAAAGCATCAAGTCAGAGTATTCATTCAGTGAATTAAAGGAATGAAATGTTTTCAAGTTCTAGTATATATAAAGTGCGTAAAAAAAATCCAAGAGTCTCCAAGATTCTGACTGCTAGAACTGGCAAGATTAAAAACTCACTGTAGCAAAAAACTGAAGAAACCCCAGCTCTTTCCACTATGACCAACACTTTACATATAAATCAAAATAAAACTTTGTTATCCCTGACAATCTTCAAAAGGTAAATTGATACTTGAGAAATTGACCAAATGTTTGAAAAAATGCCAGCTCTGGGCACATCTCTATGCTCTAGCCTTTGGGAAGAGCAGGCGGAAAGGAATTTGTCAATATACTATTTAAAAGCTGCCTCTCTTGACCCATTAATGAATGCAGTGGATTAGGACATGCTCTTTTTCTTTATTTTTTTCCTTTCTTTTTTACTGGTGGGGAGGAGCAGGACACTAATCTTCATGTGTCAAATCTTCCCCCTTATGGGGGGAAAAGTTATTCTCTGTTTCTTTTTTAAGTTTTATGTTTATTTTTCTGAGAGACAGAATGTGAGGGAGGGAGGGGCAGAAAGAGAGGGAGACAGAATCAGAAGCAGGCTCCAGGCTGAGCTGTCAGCACAGAGCACAAGGCAGGGCTTGAACTCACAAACTGCAAGATCATGACCTTAAGTCGGACACTTAACCAACTGAGCCACCCAAGCGCTCTGATTCTCCCTGTTTCTTAAAATTGATCCTGAGTTAACTGAGAAACACATCAGAGTATTAATCTAAATTAACAAAGTTGATTATATGTAACATCACCATAGCTTTCTCTCTGCTTGGGATACTGGAGCTCGTTCATATTCCCAAAAGAAATTCCTTTCCTTTATCAAGGAGGTCCCAGAGCACTTTTTTACTCTGTGTTGAGGGCTAGAAGTTCTAGGTTCCCACAAGTCCTAGCAGGCTTCTGCCTTTACTTTTCTGATTCAGTAATTTCAGGATTCCCATAGCTATGACATTCCAAGTTTAAGGAAAATCAAAAACAACTTCCTGTGTGGAAACAATGTCAACTCTAAATTCTAGTGGTATAAATAAAAAACTTAAGATGCCATTAAAAGATAATTTTTATGTTGCTTGTTTAGAAAGCAGAGAATAGTTCAGTCTTTGTTACTTATTACCTAAAGGCAGTTGGCCCCTGCATAGATTCTTGGCCCCACACAGCTGAGGAATGTTCTAAGGGATTAGAACCTTGACCATTTTTGCCATAAGCAGGTGCTATCTACATACATACTTAACAGATGTGACCACATGTTTAATGTGTTAGCCACAGTTTTTTCTAAGGTGTCTCAAAATAAGTGCATTACTTTTAAAATAAAAAGAAAAGTGCTCTGTACCACCTACTAGGGGTACACATATTGCTCAGGGAAGCATGGGCTAAGGAATGATCAATGTAAAACATAGCTTTAACAAAAGACAACTAAATAATCTTGATAGGGACCAGAGTCTACCTGTGCCAATGGTCTTTTGTCTCACCTTGCTTTTGAATGGAAACTGTTTTTAAGGAAACTATTCTTGGGGCCCCTGGGTGGCTCAGTCACTTGGGCGTCCAACTTCGGCTCAGGTCATGATCTCATGGTTCGTGGGTTCGAGCCCTGCGTCAGGCTCTGTGCTGACAGCTAGCTCATAGCCTGGAGCCTGTTTCAGATTCTGTATCTCCCTCTCTCTCTGACCCTCCCCTGTTCATGCTGACCTCTTTCTCTCTCAGAAATAAATAAAACATTAACAAAAATTTAAAAAGGAAACTATTCTCCTTACTTGTCTAAGAAGTAATAAGTTAGGAGTGACAGCTAAAGTTTGTTTAGTCTCAGTTACTAATCAAGAGCATCTGATTATCTCAATTTACCAAGCTCTCAAACATAAATTATGTGTTCCAGCTTATTGCCAGTCTTTAAATTTCGTGGCAAGGAAGATAAGTAGAGCAAGGGGGTATTTCCTAGATTCAAAGTAGCATGCCCAGCTATGTAGAATTTCGTTATCAGGTGAGTGATGCCTTTACTTAATCAAAGAAAACAGGCAACTCTAATACTCAAGTTTGTACCTTATAAAACAATTTTCTACATGATTTGATTTGGTCAAATACTTGATCTCTGTGCTTCAGTTTCATCTATGAAATGGTAATAATAGTATCTATACTTCACAGGGCTGTCATGATGACTGAGTTAACATAGTGTGCAATTTAATGCTAATTATCATTTAAAAGTAGCCCCTCACTAGTTCAGGTCAAAAAATAGCCTCATTCTTTTGATACCAGTGCTCTATTTTCTAGAAAACATAGTAACCATACAGAATCAGGATTGAGAAAATTACTTGAAGAATATTCTGCAAAGCCATCTTCTCCCAGTTCCTGAATCATCCGCTGTTTCCACCTCTCCAAATAGAAAATCTGTTCCGATGTCATGGTCTGTTGAAGGACCTTGGTCACACTTGGAATTGTATTTCTTTGCAAAGGGATTCTCAAAGGAATTGTAGAACTTGTTGCATTTGGTTTCATGCTTCTCTCTGGATTGTAGAGAGGACACCAGTTTCCTGGAACTTTTGCTGCCTTATCTTGCTTTGGGGGCTTACACTTACTCACAGGTCCATAAAGTAAATTATCTTCCTCAAACAATGATTCTGGAGTCTGAGCAAGGCCTTTGGATGACAAGACAGACTGTACTAAATCAGAATACTTTCCTTGGTCCACTTCTTCATAAGGGTTCACTTTTTTCTTCCGGCCACAGAAATAAGAGGAAGTGGAGAAATCCACACGGGCAGTTGGTTCTAGAGAAAACCCCTTTGAACTTCTGAGCTGCCGGCAGATGGTCTGAAACATCTTCATCTTTAGATGCTTTTTCACTTCCCTCTAGTCTACTTGCAATGTTAAGGCCTTTTATTTTTGCATTCCTACTAAAAAGAAAAGTGGTATTAGATACCAAATGGATTAAATATTTGAACCGCCAAAATGAAAGCCGCATTAGCTTAAGGCACATCAAACTGTATCCCATTAAGCTTTTTCGACGTGTTTGGACTAAAGTTATTTCCAAAGAAAGACTCTCTTAACAGGCAGAAGGACCAGTACTTGTTAAATGTAAAATACTACAGGTTGGGGCAAGGCGTCCCCGATATTCAATCAGAAGTAATGGGGCGCCTAGGAAGGGAAGCGTGTGTGAGACACACAAAGCCAACGTCCAACCCGACCTACAGCGGTCACGACGGTCCTGCTTAACCACTGACCCCTACATACCAGGCTCTCTGCTAAGTACTCCGCGCGGAGACCTCTCATTTAAACCCTTACACGCTTTAAGGCGGGTACTACAGTGACACCGTTTCACAGACGTGGAAACTGAGCTTCTGAAGGGTCCCACCAGGTCGGAACGGGTAAGTGGTGGTCAGAACGGCCCACCAACGGGATCCCTAGAAGACGGCCTCCGCCTCCATCCTACGTGTGGAACCACGGGGTGGGGACTGGGACGGCTGGGGCTCCTCGTGTGGAAAACGAGATAAGAAAGAGAAGGCTTAAATAGAAGCCCAGCTCACGACACGGGTATATACCTCTAAAGCCACCACACTTCGATTAACTTCCAAAGTGACGACAACGACTCGGTACCCGTACTTTCCTCGGTCCCGCGCTCGGATCTCGAGTTTGGCTCCGCCCAAGGGGCGGCGGTCCCGGCATGCACTGCGATGCTCGCAACCCCCCGCAGCTAGCCCCTCCTTCACTGCCATGGACACTCCCGCGAATCGTGAAGAGTCCCACCCCTCGGGCGTTAGCGCGGGCTCCCCCAAATCGCGCCCTTACGCTCTCACGATATCTTGTTTACGTCACAGCTCGTCGCCATCTTGGGCTCTGGCTGAGTAATAAATTCTCCCGCACGCGAGCGCGGGCTTTCTTGACACGTGCTTTGCCGGGAGAGTGGTCGTTCCTTCTCCGCGTCCTTGTCGCGGCCCGGAGGCCGGTGGTTTCCGCGTGGCCCGGAGCGAGGGTAGGCCCCGCGTAGGTTTTTTGCCCGGCTCCAAGATGGACGGCAGCGGGGACGGGGGGAGGCCGTTCTGGGGGAGCACGTGTCGCGCCGCTGGCCTTTCCCGGGGCTGCTGGGATGGTGGCGGAGTCCGGAGGCCTCCTGCCGCCGTCGGTCAGGGAGGCTGGCGGAGGCGGGGCCGCGGCCGCCCCTGAGAGGCGCCCCGGAGGCGGCGGCTGCGGCCCAGTCTCTTCTTTCCTCGCACAGCCAGGCGGCCCCCGCTCGAGGCCATGGCCGCGGTTCCCGAGTTGCTGCAGCAGGAGGAGGACCGCAGCAAGGTGAGGCCCTCGCCCTCATGCTCCAGGACCGGAGGCCCCGCCGACCTCCCGGACCGCCAGATTCCTTCTCCTGCCCCCCGGGGGTTGCTCGTGCAGCCGTGTCTCCCCCGCAGAGGTGCCAGCCGTACCCCGCGCGCCCTCTGCTCCGTCCTCTTTAAGGGCTCTCCCGGCGCTCGCTGCGGACCCGAGGCGAGACCCGGCGTCTCGAGATGGGTCTCGGTGGCACGCGCCCAGGTGGCGGGTACCGAGGGCGCGCGGCGAGTCCCCGGAGCTCCTCTGGAGACTCGGGAAGGTGCGGTCACGCGGAAAGTTGTGGGAGCTCTTAGTAAAGACCGAACAGGGAGGGCGAAATCCACTTGACGTGCCGCAGATGGCATAATTTGGTTCTGTTGTCTTCAAACTGTTCCCCTCTTGCACTTCCCCCCACCCCCCACGTCGTGGAAAGCTCTCTTTGGCCCTTATACGGGGGAAATTCCGTCAAACCAAATCTGAAGTTTGTTCCTTCCAACTTTGTAAACGCCATGTGCGTCACTGCGGGAGTTCTGTAATTTTTAGACGTTCTCCAGTACTTGCTGAACATAGTTTTTACGTATAAAATCTTGGGTGTTTATGTAAATTGTTCCAGTGTCCCCTAAATCTTGAGATCTAAAAGGTAACTAATGCAGTAATTTCAGGTTATTATAGATACTCCAGTAAAGATTTAGAGGCCAGTCTCTAGGCTTTTATTGGTCATTTACACTTAAGATAGTTTCGCAATTTGTAGAGATGGGTGCGGGCCACATTATGTGCAGAATCATCACCAGGAAAGTTTTTCTGACCGAAAATGAAAAAAGAATACAAGGCGCTTTCAAATGTAAATAACCTGTAAAGCATCTTAGAGTTACATGTACTTAGAGAAGTCAGAAACATTGTTTGATTGCACATTTGGAGAGACTTTCATCTTGTCAGTACTGAAGTTAACACACAGCTAGATTCTTCCAACAAAGTTACTGTTGCTGTGATAGCTTAGTTTTTTAATGTTTATTTTTGAGAGTAGGGAGCAGAGGATCTGAAGTGGGCTTCAGCCTGACAGCAGAGAGCCCCTGGTAGGTGAGATCATGACCCCGGCCACCCAGGTGTGCCTCATGCTCTGTTACTGAAACGCAACTTTGTGTGTGACCATAGGGTTTTGATTCGTAGGGTTTTTGGTTTTGTTTTTTTTTTTTTTGAAAGTTGAAAGAAGTAAAGTTTTCTGTGCATGTTTTTTTTTTTTTTAACTAAGTGGGAACTTGAGACCATGATTCTTTATAAAGTTATAATAGTGGTAGTTTTCTCTATAGAAGTTTATAGCAAGTTCCCCTCTTGCTCCAGATTCTGTTTTCTACAGCTCTTTTAAAAGGGGTTAACTCCTTCAACTACCTTCCTGTTACTACACTATCTTGTAGCTGGCTTTTAAAATAATCTTAACACCATGCTGATGCTCCAGCAGAAATGGAAGTTTATAAAGGCTTTTTCCTGCCTGTTGGTTTTAGTGGATACTGGAGAAGATTGTACGGAATTTTTCTGATTTTTTTTTTTTAATTACAGATATTGGGAAGTAATAAAGCTTAGTAAAATGCTACTCTAAAACTCCCAGCCCTATTTTGCTTTTATCTGTGATGCTTAGCCCTGTGTATCAAATCTAGGTGGTTTTCACTGTTGTGCAAAAGGGAGTTTGGGACTAGTGTGAAAAAACAGGAAGTCAAATCTTAGGCAAACTGTCCTCTTGCCATGATACAGCCTTGTTAGTCAACTGAAATAGTTTACATTTTTACTGAAAATGTTTTAAATTTAAATATTCTGGTTATTTTGGGATTAACATGAGGATAAGGATTCGTGGGGTTTAAGTACCCTAGTAAAATAGGGAACATAAATGATTCTTGAGGGTTTTGAGTGTTTGTACAGTCAGTGCTCTTTCTGGCTTGTTCAGCAAAACTGAAAAGAATATTGGTTTGTATTTTTTTGGTAGCCTGATAATCCCGTTTAGTTACATCTGTTAGCTTTTTTTTTTTTTTAATGCTTTATTTATTTATGAGAGAGAGACAGCGTGAGCAGGGGAGGGTCAGAGACAGAGGGAGAGACAGAATCTGAAACAGACTCCTGGCTCTGAGCTAGCTGTCAGCACAGAGCCTGACGCAGGGCTCAAACCCATGAACAGTGAGATCATGACCTGAGCTGAAGTCGGACACTTAACCGACTGAGCCACTCAGGCACCCCTAGTTACATCTGTTAGTTGAGAGTATTGGTATTTGTCTCCTTTCCCAGAAAGCAGTTAGGAGAAGAGCTGTATGATATTTTTTTAACTAGTCCTCAACTCATAGGAAAGATTGTATCTTGGTGTTTAAATTTAGAAAAGTAGGGTTTTCCCAAATTCAGCTCCTGAAAAAGTTAACTAAAATATTAACACCATTAGGCCTTTTCTTCATGATAAATTAGTATTGAGCTTCCCTGTCCCCCAAAGTTCTCTAGTATCTGGAGTTTTTCATGGATAGAGGAAAATAATTGGAGATTATGCAGAACTTTGTCCCTGCAACAATGATAGTTATCCTGGCCTTAAGTCATTTTGTACTTTCTAGGTTCTCTGGGCCTTTCCTTTGTCAAAAAGTCATTAAAATAATCTTAAATTGTTACTGGATTGAAGTTAAACACATAAAAGCTTTTCAGGGGCTAGGTGATCCCCCTCCCCACCTACTTCTATTATAACTTGGCCTTTCACTAGTTGGTTATATGGACCTTTTCCTTTAATTTTCTAAGCTCAGGAAGTATGACTTCTCAGAGCTGCCCAAACCTTAGTTCTGGATCAGTAGCTTGCACACAGTGTCTTAGGATCCTCATTTGTGAACACTAATAGGTCATAATCTCACTTTTGGTGGGGGGGGGAGGGGGACTGTAGGAAGAAATGGCCAAGGGAGAATTTTCTAGATTCTGCAATTAAATTCTCATTTGGTGAGACCTAGATTATGTCTAATATAGAGCTTTAGTTTAAAGAGGTTTCTCAACCTAAGTACTATGGACATTTTGGTCTTGATAATTTTTTGTTGTGGTACGTACATTGTAGGGTGTTTAGCAGTGTCCCTGGCCTCTACTAGGTGACCACTCACTTCTCTCCAGTGGTGAGAAGAAAATTACACATTGTCAAATGCCCTCTGACTGAGAATCATTTGTTAACTCTACTCCCTAAAATGGTGTGTTATGAGTGGGGCAGGTCATGTTACGGAGGTAAATACTTAGTAAGCCAATTTAAAACTTTGTCAAGTCTAGGATTGACAAATCCTGAGGAAATAATATGCTATATAAAACATAAGCATTGTTGACCGTCTTTGGAGTTAATTTCCCCCACAGTAGTGAAGAACCATACCAAAAGATGGTAAAAGGTGGTTTTCTTCAGCAAGTTCTGGGCAATTGAAGGTTACAAAGGAGCAGATCAGTGTTTACCAAGATGGAGTTCAGTGCCACTTTGGACAGTGGAAACCTGAGGCTCTGATGACAGTACTTGCAGAGCATTGTGGGCTGGGATCAATTGAGTTACTTTTTTTAATGTTTTGTTTTTTTCTAACAGACAGTGTGAGCAGAGGAGGGTCAGAGAGAGGGAGACACAGAATCTGAAGCAGACTCTAGGTTTTGAGCTGGCTGTCAGCACAGAGCCTGACGTGGGGCTTGAACCCATGAACTGTGAGATCATGACCTGAGCCAAAGTCAGATGCTTAACTGACTGAGCCAACCAGGTGCCCCCCCGTTTTTTGGGGGGGGGGAGGGTGAGACAGACAGACAGAATGAGTGGGGTAGGTACAGAGAGATAATTCCAGACAGGCTTGTCGTCAACACAGGGCTGAAACTCAAGAACTGTGAGATGTGAGATTGTGACCTGAGCTGAAATCAAGAGGTGGACATAACCAACCAAGCCACACAGGTGTTCCAGCCATTGAGTTACTCTTAAGACTCTCCTCCTAAAAGAAGGATGTGGAAATGTGGAAATCATCAGCTGTTTCATATTCCAAATGGAAGCCATAAGTGCACAGAGGAGAGTGTATAAGTTGTAGTTGGAGGCACAAAGGATTGACTGAACTTTGCTTTCTAAATTGGGTCCTTTTTTTTTTTCCCCCTCCCACTTCTCCTTTCACAAATTTGGTGTAATTTTTTAAGGTACTACTATGTGGTCTTGAGAGAAAGGGTAATTTTCTCAAGACAGTTGCTTATGTTAACCTGACATGCATTTTCTGCCTG